ACCATAGAGTCTTCTAGGGTAGATAATACCTGAATTTGTAATATCAAAAGCAAGCAGATTTTTTTTTCAGGGGGTAGGGGGAGGCAAACATTTTCAGATCTTCATTATCAAAGGAGCATAAAAAGATTACAAACCATTGATAAAACTTTAAAAGGGGATGGGGATTTTTTACTGACTGGTTATCAGGGGCTTCAGGAGTTCTTTTTATCCCAGCTGTTAAGGGAGCTGTTTGGCACCTCTGACAGGGCTAGGGGCTTGGGCAGGAGGGATAAGGTTGACAGATGGTCCTTAGAAGCTGAGTTATGACTGGAAGACTGTGGCTTCGTGCCAGAGTCATTTGGCAGATGTTCAAAACCACTCTGTAGGGGTCATGAATTTGCTCTGTGTTCCAGGTCATTTCCCCATTAGCACTGTCCAACCCAGCTCATGAAGAAACTTTTACCAGTTTCCAAGAAGAAAAGGTCACTGCTGTCTAGGGTGGAGGAGGCTAATTGGCTCATCTGCCTTCAGTGCTGGCCTGGGTGGATCTTGAGGGTAATCCATGTTACATACTTTCTCTGATAATATTGCAATCCTGTTTCTATATGTGGGTTGCTAGTGAGAAGGGGTTATTGCAGTGTAAAAATCTTTTTCTTAGTCGTACAGCTTCTAAGATTTACTTTTATTTGGTTGTTCCCAATGACCATTTTATGCTGAAGATCTTTAAGACCCAGGTGCCAGATTCAGGAGACCAAATTCAGCCCTGGGTATCAGTGGATGCAGCTCCACTGACTTCATTTTACAGCAGGGCTAACTTTGGCCTGTTCTTCTGTCAGACGACTCTTGTTTCTCTGCCTGGTGAGGAGGCAGCTTGCATGCTGATGATGGAGCCTGTTTGCACACCTAGGAGTAAACTCAGAGCTGTGCAAGATGGTATAAATTCTGTGTTGGCAAGCAGGTTTGAGTCTAAACTGCTGTAATTTACACACTGAGGGGCCCGGGGAGAGTGAGTGTAGCAATTAGAGGAACCAATAGGAGGATGTAAGATGGTATCAGTTAAAGCATCCCACTTCTACTTTAATTTGAACCATCTTAGACTCACTTATAGACTGTGGGCTTTCCTCTACCCCAATGACAGGCTCTGCTCTGTAGAGTAGAAGAAGCTGACCTATGGTTAGGCTCTTGGCCACATTGCTTTATCCTACTTCCTACTGAACTCCCTTGATAGAATGATCATCCTTTTTCTTACCTTGTGTAGATTCACATCTACTGTTATTTTTCCAGGTAAACAGGTTGCAGATAGAAACGGGGCTCGCAGACCTCCCAGCCACAGTGGGTGTGTCTACTGGGAAGGGCAGAGCCAAGCATCTTTACAGGGGCCAATGGGCCATAAAACATAGGACTAAAAGTATCCTTTAGAAAAATGTCCATGACTTGCCCATAAAGTGGTCCAGAGATCACTGAAAATTGCTTGACCAAACAGATCTGTTTTAAGCTGTGTCTTAAAGCTGGCCATTCTTAGGCCCCGTCAGGAGGAGCAGATCCCAGAGGTGTGAGCCCTTCACTGAATATATGCTGCTGCCAGTCTTACTTGGGCCTGGGGCAGAGGCGCCTCCTCAGATAATTAGGTCTCTGGTCATGTATGTCTTTCTCCAGTGGTAATTGCCCTTAGTATTGATGTTGAGATTCTTGGGAAGAGAGGTTGCTTCTTCAGTTAGCTATATGTTATCATCCTTGTGGGCCTTTCTTTTGTTTCATTTGGTTCACCAATGCTGCTTCTGCCTCTAAATCTAACTGAGGAGTGAGACCACAGGAGAATGGGCTGTTGGCTGCATTGCTCCTAAGAGGTGACTAAAACTTCGTAAAGCACAGCTACAGTGTGAAGGAGGAAAAAATGTGTAGTTGATAGAGGTTACTCCAGGGGACTCACTGCTGCTAGACATGTCCTCTGATCTGTGGGAAGTGACATGCTCTCTAGAGTACTGTAAATTCCTCCTTCCGTGTCAGTGTTACAACCCTGAAGCCAGAGCTCTAAGGAAACTTGAGATCCTATACTGGGGTAATAAAGATCTACAAATGGCTACCCATAAAGGATCTGCTATTATGGGTCTGGGCCATCCATGGATTTGCATGGTGCCCAACATATTTAAAATGTTCTGACTCCTTCTCTTTATTGTATAAGAACCGGAGTTTTCATACCAGAACAGGCAAGTGATGCTTCCAGCTAGATTCCTTGTTTCTGATAGCAGCCAGTGCTGGGTGTATCTGAGAGGAAGGCATAAGACCTCAGCACTGATAATGCCTCCAGTTGTACTATGCTGTATTCCACAGTGAGAGGGTCCAGATTTCTTCCTGACTCCCATGAGCCACAAAGTTCAATAACCATTATGACTTTTCCCCTTCTAGTATAACTGCAGCTACTGACAGAAATGTCTAACCATTCTTCCATTTTGCTGAACTATTTATAGCTCAATAATTCCCTAAATATTAAGATTTCAATAATCTCAGTAATATCCTTCAATCTTGAAATTTACTAAACTATTGCATCAGATATGCCCTGCAGCAGTGAGTTCCACATGTTAATTATACTAGTATGTGGGATAATGAAGTATTTCTATCTCTCTATAGCAGGTTTGAGTTTGGGCTGGTGTGTCCCTCTCATAATACAGCAGTGAGCATTTCAGGTTGTTATTTAATTCTGGCAGAACTTTTAAATAATGTTCTAGTTGGTGAAAAAATGTGAACACACACACAGGAGCCAGAGTCACAGAAAGAACAATCTGATTCTGATATTCCTTTGCTCAGTACATTCACTGGCTACTGTGATATGACTAGATGAGGTTTTTGTTCAGTTTCTTTCTTTATTTAATTTAGACTTCCCTCTCTCCCCCTCTATTTTAATGTCTATTCTGGGAAATTATTGATCAAAAGGAGAAATGAGAGACACACGCACACTAATAGGCGCTAAGTACATATTGACACAAGATGTAATCAATGTGGAAGCTTAGGAAGAGCTGAATCAGCAGGGACCTCCCTGCCAAAAAACACACAACCTGTAATTTAATTTAAAAAGAAAACCTCCTCAATGTCCAGAGAAAGTTTACGGCTCTGCACTGTTGTGTGAAAACATTAAACCAACTCTGAATGAAACTAAACAATAGAAGGGATTCATTTCTAAAGCAGCTGCAGAGCGACTGACTTTTTAATTTCTAGACACCTTTCCAAGTTCAAAGCCAGACATGAAAGGTCCCAGAGAGCTGAATATACTTGCTGTAAAGTATTTTGCCACTTTATGTATTGATTTGAAATATTAGTGAAAATTAATTAGGGAAAGTTTATATTATTGTCACTTTTAATAGGTCCTTGTGTTAAATCACACACACGAGTTACAGTTGAACAGTAGTGCCTCATACCTTTCCAGAGCACTGAGTGCACCTGTACTTAAACCTTGTAAAACCATGAGATAAGGAAACACCAGCCCTGCCACACAACCTTAACTGTGCCCACTGGAGTTGGCAAGAGCCACTGGGGTTATACAGTAAGTATATTTCAGGCAGGGCTGCCCTGTAATAAGTAGATCTGAGGAACAACGAAGTCAATGTGCCTTTTTCTGTCCCCCAGAATTGTATTCTTTCATTTGTCTGCTTGCGCTCCAACTGCCCTTCAGGACAGCTGGATTGCCTGGTGTAGCAGCTCATGCTGCAATATGAGGAGGGGTGCATCTGCATCCAGAAGGATCATGGACCCCTCATTTCTGTGCTGCATTACGTGGGCTGGACAATAGAAGAGCACGGTAGTCTATTCTTGCCATGTGTCTCTGGAGTTGTCTGGTAGCACATGACAGGATGCATGGAAGTGCAGATGATGTCCCAGACGGCATTACTGGACAAGGGGGAGGAGGTGGTTTGTGCAGAGTAGGTGCAATGGTGGAGTGTAGTGAGGACACAGTCTGATGGTTTCTCTTGGTGTCCCCATGTGCTGCGTGCCCCAGCACACCATGTCATCTGGAAGGATAGAGTGCCATGATGGGCAGGGCATCCCTCAAAGAGAGCAGAGTTAAGGTTGCTGGGTGGTGCTGGTGTGTACCTTAACCCTTTAGTCCCTGCTTTTCAGAGGTGCCCTTGACATCCTGGAAGGGTACGAGGCACTGACAATCAACCTTCACAAAGTTTTTGGGCAGTGAATTTCCCTTGTTTTTGAGGAAGTGATGGTAGTGAGGGGGACATGATTGGGGGCACTTGTGGAGGGCATAGGGAGTCTTCCTGGGAACACTTCACTGCCATTCAGCTACCAGCTCTGCTCTACCCCTGGCCCTCCATACCCCTAGTGAGGCTGGAGGAGCCATGGGGAGAGAGGAAGGTGGTAAACAATGGGTAGTAAGGAGCACTGGCAGCAGCAACAGGGAGCAGAGGGAGCCCCAAACTCCACACTTCCCTCTTAGAAAAGTGGAAGAGGATCTGCATAACCCTCTGCCCCTGAGAAGGACTGCAGAGGTGTGAAGTGGCCCATTCAGCTCAACTGGTATTCTTCTACCCTGTTCCCAAAGTCTGCCTCAGACCCTGCTGTGCAATACCCCTGTTAGAGCAATTTGAATATTAAACTCAGCTCCTTACTGCAAAGGGGGGCATGATATGCGGAATCCATGGACCAAATGACTCCAGATTTGCACCACTAACTCTAGCCCTGGCCTTGAAGTGGCACCACATTGTTCTAGAGGGCTGGTTCTGCCACAACAGTTCACGTTGCACCAGGACTTCCATATGAACAGGGGTGGAAAGGATCTATGCTATCATTTTAAAATGTTCGGTGTAGTTTGTGCACTGCTTGATTTTTCTATAGCAGTTTCTGGGGACATGACGGGGAGGAATATCATTTGAGGTTTGCCATGACTGTTTTGAACAGGGCCATATAACACCAATTTTTCTACAGTCTGACAATTTATTTCAGACCCCACTTTCACAGAAATTACAGCACTTTGAGCTAGACAGGTGTGTGAGAGAGGATCAGGTATTGTAGAAAGCTGAAATTTGTTTTGTGTTTATTTTTCATGAGAGACATAATTTACTTCTTTGACTGATGACAGTATCCTGGCACCGCGTTAGTCAATGTTGACCTTACCCCCGGCCTTATTTGCAGCCCTCCCAGTGAGAAACCAGTACCAGTTCCCACTTTGGAATATAAAGCATTAGGTGCCTGTCTGCCCCCAGGCAAAATCAGTGTTTGTTTAACTGAGAGAGCCAGCTGGGCCTGGTGGATAGAGCAATGGGCTGGGACTCAAGACCTGGATTCTATTCCCAGCTCTGCTAATGGCCTGATGTGCGACCTTGGGCAAGTTACATCATCTCTCTGTACCTCAGTTTCCCCATCTGCAAAATAGGGATAATATCCATTGTAAAGCATTTTGAGAGCTACTTACGAAAGCACTAGATAAGAGCTAGGTATTTTTATTAATAATAATCAAATAATTTATTAGTTGATCCTAATAAAAAAATAGAACAAAATACCACAATGAGCTGGCCAGGGCATCACAGGCTGGAATCAGAAGTGTCCACTCTGCATCATAGACCCTGTACTGCTGTCATGTAATAGAGAGTCTCCTTTAGCTCAAACAAAAGTCGATCTTGGAGCAGGAGAATCTGAGTTCTCTCCCTGCTGTGGCCATCAAGTTCTACATTGCTGTGGTGGCCAGCCTAACTGACAGCTGTGAAGTTCAATACACATTCTTTCCACTGATCTTTACATTTAAACTTTTAAATTGTTCTGCCAAGTAAATACCACTGAGTTGATTTTTTTTTGCTCTTCATTTAATTCTTGACAGGTTTCAGAGTAGCAGCCGTGTTAGTCTGCATCCGCAAAAAGAAGAACAGGAGTACTTGTCGCACCTTAGAGACTAACAAATTTATTAGAGCATAAGCTTTCGTGGACTACAGCCCACTTCTTCGGATGTTCTTCTTTTTATTTAATTCTTGCTTTCTTAGATACTTTATCCTTCTTCCAGCATGGCCAGCATTGTTAATGTTTTTCATTAGCTTAGCCATCCACACTGCTGTGCCCTGCCTGCCCCCAGATCACAATTTTAGTCCTCATAGCTAACCTCTCAGGCCAGGAACAAAGTCTATGATGTCTCAACTGGTTGCTATGGAGAGGGCTGTAATGGTATTAGGAAAAGCAGCAAAATATTACAGAGGTTTTCAATCCTATTTAAACAATTATAAATCATTCCCGCCCCATAGCAGCCAATCAGCAGTCAACTTCCCATATGTTCTCTCACAGATTTCAAACAAGCGCATTGTCTTGGGCACCGCTGAGAACTCATCCCTGAGGAGAAGATTTCCCCAGGGGAGGTTTCCTTTACAGCAGTGACAAAGATCACCTGGAATTTGCCAGTTGGCCAAGATTTGTTAGTGACTAAAAGTCATTAATGGCTGGTGGGTACTTGAGAAATGAGTTAGTGCTCTCAGGCCTCTCATTTCTGGTGAGTGTCCACCTCCCCCATACAGCTGGCATTAAGTTGTAGAGAGACCAGGGATGCTGAACTAATAACACTTACAGAATAATTGTGAGCCTCCCTCACTCTGAAACAAACAAAGCTACAGTCTCCCTGTGTGTTAGTAATGCCCCGAGAGATGATCCCTCCAGGGCAGGCATAGAATATGGGAAAGACTGCATGGTCACTGCCTCTTCTGTACCTATGTGGTGCATAGAGGGGCTTTCAATCTGATATCTGGGGCACCAGCGTTTAAAGAATAATACATAATAAATTATGTAACCTGCACTAAGTACAACCTCCAACTGAGAGTCCGGTGGCACCTTAAAGACTAACAGATTTATCTGGACATAAGCTTTTGTGGGTAAAAAACCCACTTCAGATGCAGCTGGCTACTTCCTGTCTACAGGGACCACTTAACGATATGCCTAAGGTTTCTAGCATCATTTTGTTCAATCTTTATTTAAACACCCTGTGTTGCATCTCTCTGATTCAGGGGCAACCCTAGTTTACACTCGTAGAAGACTGGGCATAGTGGAGCCTCCTGGCCACACCTTGTCCCTTACATATACCCTCAATCCCCATGTGTTGGGACGCCGGGGGCAACAGCTGACACAGGAGGCAGCAGGGCAGCCTCCATTCACTATTCACCAGTGGAGAGTTCCCCTTCGCAGGGATAATCCTCCACTGGCCAGCTCTGGCTGCCTTGTGCCACTTATATGGTGCAAAGTCACCTTTGAAGACTGGAGAATCTGGCCCTTTCTCTTCAAGGCAACTGATTTTTGCTGGCCCCGGGGTGGTCATTTATTAGAGGGCTCACTGTACTGTAGTGAAGTACCTCTTATGACAGAAGAGGTTCTGTTGATTACTTGGCCTGGGTATCAGAGCTTTGAAGCACCCACAACTGTATGCCACCATCCCTTCCCCTCAAAATCTGTTCATTTATAAGCAACTAAAATTTGTAGTAATGATGCCTGGCTTTTCTCTAGTGCTTTCTACCCAAGAATCTCAATGCAATTTACATACATTCATTGAGTCTTACAATCCTCCTCTGCAGTCACTATCATTATTTCCATTTTATTGGTGGGGACACTGAGACACAGTGACTTGTCCAAGGCACATAGAATATCAGGGTTGGAAGAGACCTCAGGAGGTCATCTAGTCCAACCCCCTGCTCAAAGCAGGACCAATCCCCACACTGATTTTTGCCCCAGATCCCTAAATGGCTCCCTCACAACCCTGGGTTTAGCAGGCCAATGCTCAAACCACTGAGCTATCCCTCCCCCCAGCACAGCTGAGATTAGATCTGTCTTCCAGTCCAGTATTATAACACCTTGTTCTATGATCACCTCCTACACACACTGTGTGCTTCAAAATGGTGAGCACTAAAGAATTTCTTGATACCTATGTTCCCCCTTCCTGCCTGGCTGAATGGAGAAGAATGACTGAAAATCCATCAGAGGCCAGGAATCAATTCTAATTTAATAGTCCACAGGGATGCATGGTCCCAGCTCCATGGAATCTGGAAAGAAAAAGAATATAGAAAGTCACTGTTAAAACATAAAAAGAACAGGAGTACTTGTGGCACCTTAGAGACTAACAAATTTATTAGAGCATAAACTTTTGTGGACTACAGCCCACTTCTTCGGATGGGCTGTAGTCCACGAA